TCTTATTGTCTCTCGATCTGAGAGGTTATCTCCGATCTGACCTGTGAAACCTGATTCCCAGGCGACTGAGCATCCAAATATAAACACGGTCTGAGATGAGGTTTCCAGTTTTGTTCGTCGGCTCTGTTGTGCAGGACGACTCAGCCTGAAATCATTTGTCCTGTAGACTCAGCTGACTTTTGTTTCTAATATTGATGCGTAAATTGGCTTCGTATGGGAGGGAAAATCCTCCAGAGCTCATAGCTGATTCACAAACCGTGTTGGTTTTACCATTTGGTGTGAATAAACTCAAACGTAACATCGAATTTGTTCCCAGAATGTATGACTGGTGTAGGTTTACATGTAAAATTTTTAGCCTCGCCAAAAAAAAAAGGGGGAATTCCTCAACTAACTTTCATTTTAAAAGCCCAACAAGTCAGTTAAAAAAGTACCTAAAACTTAAGAATGACTCCCCTCAAGGTGGAATGCAGGAATCCAGTCCAGCTCCGGCATTCGTGTCCTTGGAATACGAGAGTTCATGTGTTCAGTTATGAGTCAGAAAAACCAGATATCATCGTTTTGGGACCTGTGTTTATTGTCGGTATGTTGGTTTGGTGTTTTCTCTTTTTGCTGCTGTATCGAAATAATGTCCCAGGTCTGGGATAGATAAAGTATTTCTATTCTGTTTTCAGACTGAGGACAATTCTCTGTTTAGTTAAGTATTGTCCACATTTCCTGCCCCTTCTTGCTTGTTTTGTCAACGCCTACGTTATTATAGTGTGCTGAGCCTCATAAAGTCCGCGAGTTTCACTGCTCCTGTTGCAGCCCTTTGTTTTCTGAAATGAACATTGTAAAGGATCAGAACCGATGTTTTGAAAACAAACACAGTACTCTGGATTAAACTAGGTGGAATGGGCTCATTGTAGACGGTCTTTTGTCGACGGTTCTGTCCCGTCAACAAGGAACAAAAGCTGCGCGGGGAACTTGACTTTACAGTACAGGCTGGTGTCTTCGGCTGCGAATTTGGTTTCCTGCAGATGAAGTTACCGTCCCCCCGAGAGCAGTAATGTGTCCCAGGATAATCTGTCTGTTGGACGGCGTTCACCTTCCCACCACAATAAAGTTTTCATTAAGCTCAGGGGCAGAGGGTTTGGCACGGAATAAAGAACAGGCTGTATGAAACTGGAGAGTAAAAACTATTGAGCCGGACTACTGAGAACAAACTGCCAGCTTTCACAGTTTCAGTACTGAGGCAAGACTACTCTGATTTATACACATAAATACTCAGATTTCTCAGATTCAGTCAAGTCAAAACAAGTTCAGAATTTATTGCCGAGTGCATCAGATCTGGAATTGCGGCACATTTTTCCCACACAGTCATGTTGTTTAAGTCGGAAGGAAGCTAAAAGGTCACGTTATACCCAAGTTTATGTAAGTCTCACATGTCCCCTTAATGCTTAAAATACTGCACAGATAACTCACTTTGCCTTTATTGCCCCTGCTTTTAGCCTAAATGCCTAAAAGCTAGTCATTATGGGTTATTTTCACTGTCAGTATTCCTGTGCATCCTGTTGGAGTAACAGTAAATGAGGAGAAGAACTCAGAGAGAGCTTTCACTTTTGGGAAAAAAAGAAGAAAATGACGAGATGGTTTTAACAGTCTGATTGTCTGCCCCGTTGGCCAGGATGTGGAGGTGCCCCTGCATCTGCTGCGCTACGTCTGTCTGTTCTGCGGGAAGCACGGCCTCTCCCTGATGAAGGACTGCTTCGAGTCGGGCACTCCAGAGAGCCTCCCCTTCCCCATCGCCCACGCCTTCATCACCATCGTCTCCAACGTGAGTGTCGCCGGCCAAACAGTGATCACAGCGTCAGTGGCGCTGCTGTTGTTTTTAAAGCCACAGGTCAACTTTGGGATCGTTTCGGAGACTTGTGTCGATGATAAATTGTGTTGCGTAACAAACTAACCAGATCCAGTGTTTGTTTTCAGACGCAGCATTTTGTCCAAATTTGATGTTTTTGCACTCACACACTTTCTTTTTTGCTCTGTCCACAGATCCGAATATGGTTGCACATTCCCGCAGTCATGCAGCACATCATACCGTTCCGCACCTACGTGATACGGTGAGTTCACTCATTCTTTATTTCGAACGTATTAAAAGTAAAGAAAATAACAATATATATGAATAAAAAATAATATTAAATTCAAGCGGTGATGGACGGGTCCTCGCTGTATGATTGTCGGCCTTCGCGCACGTCCGGTTGTGGCGCAAATGTGCTCTGGGCGGGATTCTGATCCGGTGTGTTGAGTTTGGGGCAGATTGGAGCACGTGCAACCTAGTTGCGAGCCACTTCCTGTTTAGTCCTGTTCTTTATAACCACCTCTCCCTTTACAGTCAATATAATATCCCCTCCCAAAATGACTTCGCTTCGTCCCCTATATCTTTTTATAAACATGTTTCTGAACAACTTTTTGAACTGATTCACTTGATTGAACTGATTCCACAAACTCGACCCACAGACCGCTATGCTTTCAGATTCATTCTGACCTTGAGTTTTTTAAAATTAAGTTCCCCTCTAAAACTCCACCCACCCTGCCTGTCCATCAACATTTTTTTTGTATATTTCCCTGGAAGTAGATTATTTCTTTATAGAGATAACAGTTTGCTTTAAGTAGGAATTTGATTAGCACGTTTTTGGATGATTTCCCCAAAATGCTGTGTTACGAAATGAAAAAACAAAACCCCAAACAAACAAACTCTCGCTGATATTCACACAACAGATGAGACGTACGCAGTCGCACAGAGCGATCCGCGGGACGACGTAACCTTTAAACACACAGAGGGCGGTTATTGAAATTGATTACTCAGGCAAACTAAGACGAGAAACTCAGCAGCCTCTGATGTCATGGATGCTCTGTTCAGCTGTCGGCGACAAAAAGAAAACATTGATTTTTTTTTTCCCCGCTTCTTCCGCGTGTTCTGATCGATTAACTGCCATTTTGTCGAGCTTCTCTGTCAGCACAGCATCCAGCATCTTCTCAAGTCAAAGCGTTTAGATTCAAAATGGAACAAACCCATCAGGAACCCTCCTAATGTTTATCTGCGCTTTCTAATATCGTAGCCTCAAATGCTGTTGGATGAGATGAATCCGAGGTTTGCTCTAATTCTGCGTGAAGAAGCCAGACGTGGACGATTGCGCCTCAGAGCTCTCTCCCTCCGCTCGTCTCTCTCTCACTCAGTCAGCGCACCTTCTCCGTCTCGTGCGCTCGCTCCCCCAAATACCAAAGTGCCACACGTTTGTTGCTAGGAAGAGCCTCTGTCACCATAGCAACAGTTGCCGGGCCTCCAGTCACCCTCTTGTCACGTGACCACAGAGGAGACTGGCGGGCCTGGTCATGTGACACAGGCGAGCTACTTCAGCCTCACTCGGCAGGGACGCTGAATAAAATAATGATTGTAATGCAAATAGTCATTCAAATGACATTCACCGTATTTACTGCTTTGCCTCTGTAGCTCTGATGTCAGGACTTAACTGAGGAGGAAAAGACTCTTTCAGTACCATCGAGCCAAGGCTCTAAAGGGCAGCTCAGACCAGTCACGTGTTGCACAGAGTAGCGCGGTTACCTTTATCAGCATCCACTCATTGACAGAAAACAACATGCAACATGCAAAGAAATGCTGAGGCTTTGAAAGTGCAAGCTTTCCAAACACAGAAAGCTATAAACTCAGCAAGCTTCAGATCACAAGAGCTCAGGGTGCTTTGAAACTCAGCCAAACCTTCAAGGCAGAGGAAACAAGCCGCCATGTTTTTCAAAATATCCTCTAAAATGAGCAGGTTTATATCAGAAACTGTCTGAGCAATGACAGCAAGACAAGAAAAATAAAAGGAGTATAAATCTTAGCAGACATTCATTCAGTCAGGCATTTAATGGCTTCATCAGTTCCACGTTTAGGGTTTTGTGTATAACTTCTCAACAAATCTTGGATGAATTCCCCTGACTTTTGGTTTATTTATTGTGATCACTTAAACCTGGGGTAAGCAGCACTTTTTTGGCATTACTGGACAAACATGACATTCTAACCTTTCAGCATATTGTAGTTAAAGAGGTCTGCAGGAAAACTGGATCTCTCTCTACAGCAGGGATCTCCAACTCCGGTCCTCGTGAGCTACTGTCCTGCAGGTTTTTTCCGTACTGCAGCATACCTGACTCACATTAATGGATCTCCAACAGCTTGTTGTCAAGTTCTACACAAGTCTGTTAATGATCCATTGCTGTGAGGCAGGTGTGCTGCAGTACGGAAACATCTAAAACCTGCAGGACAGTAGCTCACGAGGACCGGAGCTGGAGATCCCTGCTTTAGGTGGATTATCACCAAGAATAATTTTTTTTCAGTAACTTTGGTTTGCAGTTAAATCTCAGCAAAAGTAATGCCATTTTCCACTTCCTTAACTTTGTATTTAGTACTAATCAGAAAATGCTATGCATGGGAAACTCACGTGGTGAGGATGGTAAACCTGTACCTGCTGAACATCAGCTTGTTTAATGCTGGACCACTGTGCCTGAGTGCAGCTTCAGTTTTGAGGTGATGGGTGCACATACCAACTGATGGTGCTACAGTATATGTCTGCTGTATATTCTTATGAAGTGTGGCTTTAAGCTCTGCTTTTACTTCGCTTATGTAGCACCGTGTAGCAGTAAGGCCGATCAAGGTAAACTTCTGGAGGAATGTGTCAGTAAGGAGCCCATGCAAACAACGCAGATGTATTTATTGGATTTAAAATGTTGACTAGCAGTCAATGGAAATGGACCGTAGTGCCGCTGAGTTACTGTTCACCACACTGTCTGTCACCTTCCTGCCTGCTCGTTTCTATTCTGTATGCAGCTGCATTAGCATCAAAACAGGTTTGGGAAACTTGTTATCATCACATATTGGTAGCTTTCATCTTTTAACGTCTCTTTTTAATCAGCAAAACACAAACCCCTTTAGCAGCAAGTGTTTCCTGGCTCAGCAGAAAAGATCTAAAAACCACGACCCCGACTATCCCACGGTGCAGAGTGGATGAGTCAGCAGCACATATCTCAGCGTACGCCTACGCACATCTGAAAAACCAGTGTAATCTCAAGTATATGAACATGAGTGTACGTATAAATATAAGCTTCTGAACATTAGTGTTTGAAATACGGATGAGAGCTTGATTCTGGCAGAGTTTTTAGACTTTTCGGTGATGTCAACACTCGTCTTTTATCCTGTCAGAAGGGTTGGTAGTAAATTTTGAGGATCTAAAGAGAGTGGCAGAGTTTTGGATTGACAACTACTCCTTTAGTTTGGCGGTAAATGTGACGAATCAAGAGTGAAAAACATGATGCTGTAGTTTTTTTTTTACTAACCAGCTAATAGTCCACAGACATGTTGGCGTAGTTTAGCAGCTCGTAGAAGACGTTGCTTTTTGCAGTGATTTAATACAAACATTAAGCTGCTGTCTTCAGAAATTTGAGCATCATAGCAGTAACTTCTTGCATTTTGGTGAATTTTTCTAAACATTATATTGTGAATTTGAGCCTTTTCTGCATCAGTTTTATCGTCGAAAGTCTTTAATTGTGTAGAATGAAGCTCATGGTTGTGGCTTCATTAGTAATCTAAACCGGTGTCTTTAATTGAAGTATTTGAACCGAATGTGTTTTTGTAACGAGCTCAGTCATGATGCTGCCTGGTTGTAAAATTATTGATGAAATTGTGCGTTTTCTGTTCATCTTAAAATGAAAAGACTGTAGAGTTGAAGTTATTTCTATGAATGTTGAATGTGATGTACAACTTTTGTAAATGTTGGTTGCTGCCTGCAGGTATCTGTGTAAGCTCTCAGACCAGGAGCTGCGGCAGAGCGCAGCACGCAACATGGCCGACCTGATGTGGAGCACGGTGAAGGAGCCGCTGGACAGCGCGCTGTGCTTCGACAAGGAGAGCCTGGACCTCGCCTTCAAATACTTCATGTCCCCCACTCTCACCATGAGGTTGGCCGGACTCAGCCAAATCACAGTGAGTCACGCTCCAAACATGAATGGACTCAGTGTCAGAGCAGATGACGGTAACCCTGAGTCCAGACAGGACTCATCACAGCAGCATTTGTAATGTTTAAGTCACCAACAGCTGTGTATTCTTTAATTCTGTTCCAGTGTGCCTTTCTCTGCCAAGTGTTTGAATTTACTTTGTGTTTTATTTGGTAGGAGTTAAACAAATGCTCTTTAGATTTTAACCAAAATGTTCCTCAGTGCTCAACTGTAGAGTTTTCAGGAAACAAAAGAAACTGAAAAATGGAGTCATCTCTGGTGTTTGCCCAATTTTACACCGAGTTGCACAAAGCTCACACGTTTCTCCTGGATGTGGCACCAGAGGAAATGTCATGTTTCGAAAATCACGAGCATGGATCATCTCAGGGCTTCAGACCAAGTTTTTCACTGGTATCTTTCTCAGCTGGTTTCACCTCCCACCTGACGTTAGACAGTAGAATTTACTGATGTTCCCTGAACGTCTCACAGTGCAGGCTGCGGTAGACGCTGCTAGGTGGCTGCAGTGAGTAAAAATTGCTTTAAAAGTAGTAAAGTAATGTGTTCTGAAATCAGATACGTCCAAGATGTACTGCTTATGTCCATCACCGGTTCAGTCGCTGTCCTTCCAACTCAACCTGTCCTATGATCCTCAGGAGCCAGTTTGTTTGCCAGCAGCTTTCTTTTATGCCTCGGTGTGCCACTGATGGGAAATAACCTGCATTGTGTTACTACACTCATCATGAAACGTGTGTCTGTGTTTCCTCAGAATCAGCTCCACACCTTCAACGACGTCTGCAACAACGAGTCCCTGGTGTCCGATACAGAAACGTAAGTTAGTCGAAAGGAATCGGATTCCTGAGCACGAAGATGCACGTGAAGGTGCTGTTAACCCGATTCTTAGATGGGGCATGTAAAAGATTTGATTTTGTACCAATCATACAGTCATGTTGCAACACATGTGAGTGGACAGTAATAAAGCACTGAAGGAAGAAGGAAATAACACTTTATCTCTTTTTATGCCTGTTTGTTTAAAGACATCCATCCTCCTCTGTGTGTCGAGTTCTTGTTAACTTGTGTATTACTTCACTGGTTGTTTCTTAATATCACTGTGATGTTGCTTCATCCTTTCAGGTCCATAGCAAAGGAACTAGCTGACTGGCTGATCCACAACAACGTGGTTGAACACATATTCGGACCGAATTTGCACATTGAGGTGAGACATTTGTTGTGGGAAACGGATGCAATGTAAAGTGGCCCTTTTGCTTCCTTCGATTAAACAATGCTACACCAGAGACTGGAGGTCAATATGTGTTCTCCCAGTGCTGCATATCCTAAGTGTGTGTGTGTGTGTGTGTGTGTGTGTGTGTTTTCCAGATCATTAAACAGTGCCAAGTGATCTTGAACTTCTTGGCTGCAGAAGGCCGACTCAGCACGCAGCATGTGGACTGTATCTGGGCTGCAGCTCAGGTAAGAGAAGACCACACACAGCTTTACTCCACTTCATTAGCCTGTTTGCGGCCTATAGTATTAAAGATTAGCACCGTCAGTGTGATGAGACGTGAAGCAGCAGTTTTGCCTCTCTAACACATATTGGTAGATAATATAGATCGAGCTGTGACAAACGCACCTGAAACAAAAATTAAAGATGGAGATTGCAGATATGGCCACTGCTCCTCAAGAAATAATTATACATTATAGTCGTGACTCGATAATCCGACCCTTTACCATCCTAAACCTGCTATCCGACAGGTTTTAGGGAAAAACAAACAGAACCCATAAAAACAGCCTTAACATAGCGACAGCCTTGGATTCTGACTCCGACATGACATTTAATGTCACCAATCAGGATGACGGCGTATTATCTGACTGAACAATCCCACAGATTGGCTACGTTCACACTGCAGGACTTGATGCTCAATGAGGATTTCTTTGTGAAATCCGTTTTTTTTTTATTGTGAGTTTGTTCACGTTTCCAGTTAAATGCGACTTGTATGTGATCTGCTGTGTGAACTTCATACGAGCCAAAAGTGTCCCGCATGCGCAGAAGAGGACACGACGACGTCACACGCAGCGAGCGTGCTCAGTGTTTATGGAAGTAAACATGGATGGTAACGGTGGAGCGTATCTGCCACTCCCCCACCGCCACCGATGGAGGAAACAGAAGTGTGAGCGCTAACTAAACTAGCATCAGCAGCCAAGTACTGCCTGTGTGTTCTGGACACTTCCACCCCGTCGACGCGCTCCCAGATACAGGTCGCATAGGAGAAAAAAAAAAATAATCTGATTTGGGCCTCTTCAGCTGCTGTCTGAATGTATTTGCCGTTGATGTCAACCGATGGCGCGTGCACAAGCGCACCGGTCTGTCAGGCTGAAATCCAGCGATGCGTAGTGTTCTAACAACACTAGTTATTATAACAACTATGAACAATGAATATTAACAACAAATGAGCCTTCCAGCATCAAGCCCTCCTTGTATCTCGACCTTCGTCTTGACAATCCGACAGCCTTGCTATCCGACATAAAAGAAGGTTTTACATTTAGTGTCAGATCATCGAGTCATGACTGTACTTCCATTTCATTCATGTCAGCTTTGATGACTTCAGTGTTTGGTGATGACAGCGTCTTCTGTTTTAACACTTTTATTTGTCGCATGTTTTAGCTGAAACATTGCAGCCGCTACATCCACGACCTTTTCCCTTCGCTCATTAAAAACCTGGACCCAGTGCCTCTCCGCCACGTCCTCAACCTGGTGTCAGGTCTGCATCCCAGCGCCCACACCGAGCAGGTACGAAAACACGCAGCCGGAAAGATAAACCCAAAAACACTCTGAATATCACCAGATTGCTGCTGTGGTTTTCTATGATGATACGTTTCATGTGCCTGCCTCTTCCTTAGACACTGTACCTGGCCTCCATGCTGATCAAGGCTCTGTGGAATAACGCCCTGGCAGCCAAGGCCCAGCTCTCCAAACAAAGCTCCTTCGCTTCTCTGCTGAACACCAACATCCCAATGGGAAACAAGAAAGGTCAGGCTGGACCCGTCTCTGTGTGAAGCCAAGCAAATCGGTTTTATAATATTGCCTGAGGCTCTTGAGCTTGATCTGGGAAAATCACTCGACTGACACCATTTGAGTGTCGAAGCTTCGGTTTAGAGACATTTTAGATGACTCGGGTAAAACTTGAAGGTCTGTGGTTAGAAAGATGGAGCTGTTTACCAGAAGTTGTAATAACAGTATCACTGAATTGTGAGTATCTATACTGAGGAATAATCTTATTATTTTCCAAATTATTAGTCATTCTTTGTGTATATAAAATGTTAGAAAATAGTGAGAAATGCTGCACATCCTGTCCAAAATTCACTTTACTGTCAGATACTATAAAGACAAAGCATCATATCCTCACGTTTGAGAAGCTTTTTGTTTGATAAAATTACTAAAATGATTGTCAGAATAGTTGGCAATCATTTTTTTGTTTTAACTTGCTGATGAATCGACTAACTGTTGCATGGATTGCTTACGGCTTAAAAGAAGGATTCATTGCGTTTCACTCCTAAGTGATTCAGACCCTCAGCTCTTCTCTTCTTTATACTGTCTCGCCTGCTCTGGCTGAAAACATCTGTGATCGACTGAACTCTCCCATCATGGCTAAATTTTCTAAACCCTGAAAACGGAGCCGAAAGGAGATGCACAAGTCTGGTTTTTCCCTACTTGAATATGCTCAAAAGTTAGTGAAGATTTTTTTGCATCGTGACGCCTGCTGTAAGTTCAGCAGCTTAACCCTTAGAGGCCAGTTTTGGCCTTTTTGCATACTTTTAGTTTTCTCTTTGTATACCACATAGAAACATGTTCATCGTGCCCGTGTTTGGTGTCTTTTTTTTTGTCCAGCACAACATCACCGATATGATCTGACTGTTATTTTTTCACTTTGACCAACTATATTAACATTTTGGCCTCCAAAAAACAGAAAAAATACAAAATCCGATTTGAAGAAATGTTTTATTTATGACAATAAAAACCACAAACATGCTTAACGAAGCATTTTGAAAGTTGAAAATGTAGCCATAGGTTGCAGATGTGAATTTGAAAAGGTACATTTGATATAAAATCAATTAAATACAAATATATACAACTATATACGAAGCAGGTGTGGCTTTCTTTCTGTTTTTATCTGTGCCACTCCTGAAAACAGTTTCTGTCCAGAATGAGTCCGACAGCCACGTTACAGGACCTTCCAGGGAATTTCTCACTTTCGTTTTGTCCGTCACAAAAAATCGATTGCAAAAAAATGATGGAGATTTTGAAAGAAACGCCTGCAGCGCGTGTTTCATATGCTTATATTTTACACACCTTTTTTTCTTGCATGTTCATAACCTCATATCTCCAGTTTGACGTGGTCTATCGACATGAAACAAAAACTGGGAGAGACTTTGAAGTCTGTGCTTTTGAGAGAACATGCACTAGTTTTTCTGTCGTGACGTCTCGAACATGTCATATGATTATATCACAACCTCTGAGGGTTAATAGTAGTAAATGTACTCAGAAGGTACCTCACTCAGTTCATTCACTTAAATCTAAAGACATCCAACCTTTGATGTAATGTGTGCATGTTAATGTGTCTGCTGATGGCCACGTAATCCCAGTGTTTGAGATTGTTCTTAGTCCGTCATCCTGTGTGGTCTCAGGTTCGCCGGCCGCCAGTCCGGACAGCAGCGATAACAGCGACACTCAGCACAGTGGAGGCAGCGACATGGAGATGGACGATCAGATGATGACTGGCAGCAAGAGGAGCCAGCAGAGGCTGTCTGATACAGAGGTACATACAACCTGAAACGCTGAAAAAATGAAACGATTAGCCGCTAAAAACTGGTCCTAAGTATGTGAGATTAAAAAACACATTTGAGACTTCAGAAGGTATAACCTCAGAACGTTCAACTGATTATTCAACACTTTTTCTTAAAGCTCAATTAAAAACTGAAGATTTTTTTAAAAGCAGGCAACTGGCGTTTGAGAAAACATACGAGCTGGCATTGTGCAGCCACTAAAAACATGAAGTCGCTTGTAGTAGCAACCTTACCAGTAACACTTTCAACAAGGAGCACGTCTAAATGAATACAGTCAGACAGAAACACTGTTCTGGACTACAAGTGAAAATATTTTGGAAACTTTTGCCAAGCTCAGAGAACTGCTCTCCCTCCATGTCAAGGACGAGATGACCAGGCAGCGTAATGGGATTGATGTAAGGTCCCGTGTCTAGATGACACAAAGCCGCCCCTTATTGAAGGCAGAAAGTTTCCAGGTCTGAAAGGGCTTCTGTTGTTTCCTCAGGAGTCGATGCAGGGCAGCTCAGATGAGACGGCGAACAGCGTCGAGGAAGGCAGCAGTGGGCCGGGCAGCAGCAGTGGTCGGAGCGAGGCCTCCAGCAACGAGGCCGCCTCCAGCCGGGCCAGCCAATCAGCCGGGAGCCCAGGCAGCGAAATGCATTCTGACGACATGGCAGACAGCGAGGCCTTGAAGGAGGAGGAGGAGGACGATGAAGAGGAAGACGACGAAGAGGATGATGACGACGACGACGAGGATGAAGACGAGGGGAACCGGTCAGCGGCTGATGGCGGTCAGCAGAAGGAGCCCCGGGAGCAAACTGAGTCCAGGAAGAGGAAAGCAGGGGAGGCTCTTGGTGAGGGACCGAGTCAGGGGGCGGGGCCCAGTGGCACAGGAGGAGCCAAACCCAAGGTTCTCCCCTTCAACCCAGAGACTTCTGGTGTCATGGTCACTGCGGCGTCAGCATCTTTAGAGGGTCGTATGAGGATGTTGGACGCGTGCTCTGCATCGTCGTCTGCTCGGCCCGAGGGCACAGAGTCCCAACAACAGCCACCAGACATCAGTCCATCCCAGATGGTCCAGGGGCCTCAGGAGCCTCCTTGTCTGCCACGGCCTGGGGACTTCCTTGGAGAGGCCATGGGCAGCGAGCTCTTCAACTGCCGTCGTTTTATCGGCCCCCAGCATCACCACCATCACCATCATCACCACCATCATCATGAAGGGTAAGACTGCAGCTGTTCTCACTGGTACTGATCATTTGTTAGCTACATAGGTTAGCATGCAAGTCTAAAGCACCAGCCAGTAGCGTTCCTGCCACTCTAAAGCCTCGGTCACAACTGGACGCACGACTTTTGGGATCGTAGGTCCTCTGCAAATTTTTGGGTGCCGTGGAGGTTTTGGAGGTCATTGAGGTGGAGGAGAGGTTGCAGGGGCTTTGTCAGAAAGGCATTAGAAAGGCGCAAGTCTGTCTTGCGAGTCGCAGGGGCGACGTGAGATGTCCGCTCAAACAGGGACGCTACCTGCAACGTGTGATTGCCGAGGAAGTTGTACTCACTTCTTGAGTTTGTCTTGCCACCTTGCTTGGTAAGCTTGGTCACAGAAAACATGGTGCAAAGTGTTTATGTCCCCAGTGTGCACCCAAAAACACCCATAACACACATTTGTAAATTCTATGTTTCAGGTCAACATGAAGCAGACACAGTCATTATTCTCCTACAAAGACATAACTAAGTAATAACTTGAGGATCAAGAAGGATTTGGCTGACTAAATTCATCCAACCAACTCATGCTGCTCTGCGTAGATACACGTTGTCATGCGTATGTTTTTAGATGTTTAATAAATGTGCTTCTTGCTCTTCAAACCTCCGTCAGTCCCATGGTCGAGGACATGCTGAGTGCTGATGACGTCAGCTGCAGCAGCTCCCAGGTCAGCGCCAAGTCAGAGAAGAACATGGCCGACTTTGACGGCGAGGAGTCGGGCTGCGAAGAGGAGCTGGTCCAGATCAACTCCCACGCTGAACTCAGCTCCCACCTCCAGCAGCACCTCCCCAACTTGGCCTCCATCTACCATGAGCACCTGGTGCAAGGTAAGCCACAGTCAAGACCCTGGAAGGGTCAGAGTCATCAGGTCATTTTGAACAATAGGAGACTGGTTTGGGGTTAAATCCCAGATAGCAAATATAAGCTCCAACTTACTGAAGCAGTGATTCTCACATGAGGGATGGCAAACTGTCAGGGTGTCTGTCGATCGTAGACGTTCAGCCAGTGAGACGTTAAACCTAAACATACTGGTGACCAAATTTACACGTTTTCTCATTAAATGATTTTGTTTACATCATCGTTTTTGATCTTTCCATCACTACAAAATGTGGTATTTAAATTGAGACAACTATTTACCAGCAAGCAAGATTAGATGATACCATTCTGTACCAAAAAGGTGGTGGGAGATGCAAGCCCATCATGTCCAGGTGTGTCTTTTGACATTTCAGAGGTCCAGTGTTATATGCAGCTAATTGAACAGTTACCACTTGGATTGTTTTATGCCTGTTCTGTGTTGAGATGATGCAAACATTGAATACCTTTCAAATACACTTCTCTTATGTTGCTTTTTCACATAACTGACACTGTGGGGAAAAAAATAGGCCTCACCAATAATACATGCATGACATGGTCCCCAGGATATTCTCTGTCTTGTAAGGGGTCCTTGGTGGAAAGAAAATTGAGAACTCATGTACTAAAGAATCTGTGAAGGTGATGTTCTGAATGCTCCACATCTCTGCAGGTCCAGCTGTTCATAAACATCAGTACTCCAGCAGCCACGCCGTCACCGACATCAACCTGGATAATGTTTGTAAAAAGGGCAACACGCTGCTGTGGGACCTGGTGCAGGATGAAGACGCGGTACGAGTTCAGTTCTTTATTCACGTACATATGGACTGCTTCACAGAGCTTCAGATAATACCAACTGCAGCACTCCACACTTACAATAATAGGATAAACATAAGGTTAGATAAATGACTTGTTTTGTTTTGTTCACATTCTGCACACTCTGAACATTTAGTTTGCTGATCTCTGATGACCAGAGGTGATAATGTTTGTTTTTAACGTTTGTTTTTAACTAATGCTTCAATAGAAACAGACCTAGATATTGTTCAGCTGATCAGAGCTGAATATGCACAAGTTTAAGCTGCAACGTTCTTCGTCCAGCGCTTTCTGGTTAATCTCTGTGGTTTTTATTCTGTGTTGTGTGTGTGTAGATTCATCTGTCTGAGGGTCTGATCAATGAGGCAGAGAAGCTGCTGTGTTCGCTGGTCTGCTGGTTCACCGACAGACAGATCCGAATGCGCTTCATCGAGGGTTGCCTCGACAACCTGGCCCATCATCGGTAAGATCGACCGTACCAGCGCATCAAGTCTGTTCTTCGCTTGGGCTTTCTGTTGGGATAATTTTTTTTAAAGTTGTCGCGCAAAGTTTGATCGTTAAGAAGTAAAGAAAAATAAAACCTGATCATCAAATTTAGCTCTTGGAACTGAATGGAACTGTGAGCAAGAAAGTCAGAAGAAAAAGTGAATCAACAGTAATGATTGAGAGAAGGATGAGAGTTACTTATTTTTCATAAACTACTCCTCACACTGAACACTTTCACTCTTACACTCAGACTCTGTGAACATTGTGACTCTTTGTTTTCCCGCAGGTCCGTTGTGGTTTCCTTGCGTCTACTACCCAAGCTTTTCGGCACTTTTCAGCAGTTTGGCTCCAGCTACGACACACATTGGATTACAATGTAAGTAAGATTGGACAACAAGTTCAAAAACTGCAAATTTGTGTGTCAGAACTTTGTTTTTACTTCTTTTATCTTCCATGACTGGCCCTCAGTACCTACAGTACCTGCTGCTGACACACGGATGCTTCATATATCAGTCAGAGGGACCAAATCTTCACTTTCCCTTTTGTGCTTTGACTATTTTTTTCCAGCTAGCACTCAGGCACTTTAACTTGAGACAGAATTTTCATTCAGGAGTTTTACCTCTACTAGAGTATTTTTACTTTGCTCTTAGAATAGAATAGAAAAATACTTTATTTATCCCAGTCTGGGAAATTACTGAATACTTCTGATACTTCTTCAAGCGAGGGAGTTAAAGTATCTTGGGATCTTGTTCACGAGTGATGGGAAAATGGAGCACGAGGTGGACAGGCGGCTCGGTGAGGCATCAGCAGTAATGCGGGCGCTGTACTGGACCATTGTGGTGAAGAGAGAGCTGAGCCGCAAGGCGAAGCTCTCGATGTACCAGTCCATCGACATCCCAACCCTCACGACCCAAAGCTCGTGACCGAAAGAACGAGATCATGGATACAAGCAGCCGAAATGAGCTTCCTCCACGGGGTGGCTGGGCTCAGCCTTAGAGACAGGGTGAGGAGCTCAGACATCCGTAGGGAGTTTGGAGTAGAGCCGCTGCTCCTTCACGTCGAAAGGAGTCAGTTAAGGTGGTATGGACACCTGATTCAGATGCCTCCAGGGAGGCTTCCTCTGGAGGTCTTCCGAACACTCCTGGGAGGAAACCCCGGGCAGACCCAGAACCCGCTGGAGGGATTATATCTCTCAGTGGGCCTGGGAACGCCTCGGGATCCTCCAGGAAGAGCTCGGATAAGCGGAAGAGGATGGATGGATGGATTTATGAATGGATGGATGGGAGGAAGGAAGGAAAATGGATTTTGCCTCATGCTCCTGATGTGGTTGTTGGTTCTTTCAGGTGGGCCGAGAAGGAGCTGCACATGATGAAACTGTTCTTTGACAACCTGCAACACTACATCCAAGAAGTGCGAGAACACCGGCACAAGTTTGCACTGTGAGTCTGTCGACCTCTCACAACAGTCACAGAGAATAGTCACATAACACAGTGCTGTCCCAAAATATATCTGCTGAAAACATATAATAATATGTTTGTTTGTCGTTATTTTTAACTCACACAAACCAGTCGTATGCAAACATTCTGGAGTTTTGGTCCTGTGTCTCATTCTGTCAGTTCTGTCCTTGTCATAATCAAAACCTTCTTTAAAACATGCTGTCTTTGTTTTAAAATCAGAAATGAAATCGCACACAGTGACTTCATCCAGCAGCCTCCTGGCATTCCTTTGTCACATGTGGATGATATTCCAGCCTTCATCCAAAGTCGCTTTTCTTTCCGTTGCTCTCAAGGCTCACAGTTCAAATCATTAAAATAAATGTCTTGCCTATGAGAAGAAGCAACTCCAGTCGACTATTTTCACATTTGTTTGGTATAAAATGCAGCCTGACTTAGAATCCTTAACCATTCTGGTAAGCCTGGGCTCTCTGTAGCTAAGTTTAAACTCCTGGGAATTTATAGGTTTGAGATCTACTTAAGGCCTCGAACAATTTTCTCCCACTAGATAGGATCTAACAGTGGCATTGCCCCGACCTTGACCCTGAATCTGATAGAATTAAGGGAAGCATTAGAG